CAATTGTTCGTGACGTTTCCGATCTGGGAGAAAATTATGCGCATCTTGGACTCCAGTAGAATCTTGATTATAAAGTGACAATTTAATAATCCAAATATTATCTTGTGATTCAACAGAATCAATACGAAAGATAGCACCTAATGCAAGAAGAATTTCTTCTTCGCCAGGATTCCAACTTGACTTTTGAATGTCAGCATATGGCAATGAACATGTGTCTGTTTGAATTTCGATTTCAAATAGAACTGATTCAAGTTGAGGTCGTCTAGCACCTTCTCCAGAAAACATGACCGAAACTTCTCGATCGCTCGATGTTGACAGGAATGTATTCATAGAAATATAATGGCCAGTATTTCGTCTGAGTTGGTCTAATTCTCGAACAGACATCAATTGACCACGATAAACTTTGAGTACATATGGAAAAAGCTCTAAATCTAGCAAACACTGAAGATAATCACAGTGTAATTCGAGTAATTGAGTGTAAATATCAGCCAGTATGTAACGTAATTTATAGATACAATCAATATTTTCAGCTCGAAGAACTTTGTTTATAATACGAAATAGAAACGAGTCTCTTGTGTACCATTTAATTGCTTTGTCTGATCGATAGTTTAGTTCAAAATCAGTAATCTTATCTTGTTCAGTTTGATTATTGACATAACATGATCGACAAAATTCGATCAGTTCTTGTTTTGCTGCATTTTGTTCAGGTACACAAAGAAGAATTTCTAGTATATATTGGAACCACATGAATTTTGCTGCTTGTTTTGTCAAATCTTTGCTTGATTTGCCACTTTCTATTGGAGAAGTGAAAATATTAAATTTAGTCATATTCTCGGTACAATATCGAACATCATCAATAAGTTTGACAAGTAGATCTTGTTCATTAACCAAGACAGCACGATTATTTTTCAAAAAGACATCATTATTTAATGATAATGACGAAGTAATTACATAGAGAAATGTAATCTGAATAAGTTCATTTGCTTTATTAAGAATATTTGACTCGTCAAATGAATCGATTGAAATAAGAAGAATGATATGATCAATGTCACTATTGATTATATAATCGAAGCAATCATTGACATCAAAAAATGGTTTTAAATAAGATGTTATATGTTGCAGCTGAAGTTTAGCCTCGAAATATTTGTCTGTATAATGGAACATTTTATTGAGCCAAATTAATTCGAAATTCTCAAGTTTTTCTATGTTTATTGATGATAAATCATTTTGATCCATGTTTTTTTCCTTCTCACCCATTACATGAGACTGATCGTCTTAATTTGTGTCATGCACGAATGCATCATCACATTTTTATTTCTTTTTCTTTTTCTACACCGATTTAATTTTCTACAGTCCTAATTTACGTTTTGTTATTTAAGAAAAAAAAAAGCGTGCACGTGTTTACAAGGTCGCAAAAAAAAATATACATCGGTGTTTATTAAAATTGTGCAGTGGAAGGTTTTTTGCATTCAGAATTCATTATAGGACATTTTCTTACATGTTAATTCTACACTACTTGATGCACAAAACACTTCAATCGTACTGTAAACTTTGGTGACCCTAATATTTCGCATAACATACACTGTTATGTATAAGATTGGGCTAGAATCAAATTCGAATCTTGAGGGTGTGGGTGTGGGTGTGGATGGGTGTGGGTGTGGGTGGGTGTGGATCAAGGAAAGGCGCACACTCACACACCCACTCACACCCCACACCCACTCCCACACACCCACACCCACGCCCACACCCATACACCCACCCCCACACACACCCACACTCACCCATACCTACACCCATACCCTCACACCCACACCCCCACACTCACACCCAGAAAGTTTTATACGCTACACTACTAGTATCTTGACAAGACTCATACTGCTGTTGCTCAAAATTAAAAGACTTGAAACTAACATCTTCAGAAATTATAGTTCTTTTTTTTTTAATGTTGATCACAAAATTACCTCAACAAAGATTATGTTTGAGTTAAGTTTAAGAAACTTTATTCCAAAAGAAAGGTGAAAAGTCAAAATTTTGCTTTCAATTGGAATGTAAAATTTTTTTTGAATGAGTCAAAAATCCAATGTTTTCACAGGATAATTCAACTTGCTCTATAAGATAGAGAAACTCAAAATCTTTGCGTCTAAGCATTTTTTTCGATAAATTTTTGTTTGTAACGTCTTACTATTGATTATGTTGACAGTCTAACTTGAAATAGTTTCAAATATTCTACTTTTATTTTGTTCATAGTTAAAGGATTTGATGAATTACAATTATTACTGTATCCATTATCTCAACAATTAAAATGTTTAGCAATATCTTGTTGGTCATATGAATATGTCAATGGTCAGAAATGGGAAAAATTTTTTAAATCATTTTTATTATTAAAACACTTTCATTTGGATATCACTTTATCTACATTACCATCACATCCAATCAATATCAAACAAATATTATCGACATTTCAAACAAAATTTTTTTTTGGATGCTCATTGGTATTTTTCAATTGACTATAATCCAAATGTTCACATCAAATTTGTTCGTTATACATTGCCATGGCCTATTAAATATTTTCATACAATCTTATATAATATAAAAACATTGTCAACAACAATAACAGATCACTCGTATTCGACAAAAAATGTTCAAAATTTATATATTCAATTATATAATCAAGTATCAAATTCAACAGCTTTAATTAATAAAAATGATGTACAACGTTATTATTCGAATGTTGAATCATTAATTTTAATTAATCATTTATCAAATAATAATGATCGATCTTCTCAAATTATTGATGATTTATGTCATACAATCGATTTAACAAAAATAAAATCATTAAAATTTGATAAATTTGATTATTTACAATCAACATCTCTATTATTAATATAATAAATTTTATACCTAATTTATTAGAATTAAAAATTTTTTTCAAAATCTATTTACAACATCAATATTTAATATCAAAAATATCAACAATTCAAATATTAATACTTTATTTTGATTCGGATCATATCACTGAAGATATATTAACAAATTGTTTTTCATTATTATCAACAAATATTAAAAATTTAAAATGTATAACAAATAATCAAAATGAAATATTGAATCTATTAAAAATTTTATATCAATTAAAATTTTTAAATATAGAAAAATTATTATTGAAAATCAAGAATGGAACAGCAATACAGACATTTACGAATGAATTTATTCAATTTATAGATCAATTTATGACGAAAATGTCTTTAGATGATAAATATGATTTTATGTATAAAATGAACGATAACAAACAATTAGCTATATAGTTTTAAAAAACTAATGAATTTTCATGTTTATTATTGATGTTTAATTATCATTATTCAAGACAATGATTGGATGACAATAAAAATTTGAATTTGTTTCGAGTATAAAGAAAAGGAATTTATGCAATTTGCTTTTAACAATTTTGTAATAAATGGAGAGATTAAATAGTCGGCTTTGGCAACATTTTTTTTTATGCGAATTAAACTTAATCAGAAAACTTCATTTTGACACTGAATGATAGGAAATTTTGTGTGAATTGTAATTATCTGTTTCTTTCACAATTAAGCATTTTTCATTTTCTCTCAGCATTAAAAAGACTGCAAGGGGTGTGAGGTGTGCAACTGAGAATATCGGTACCGATAGCAGTCTTGTTTTCTCGAACCACTTCCACCCTCATAGAACAGATGTGGCAAATCCCAAATGTTCGTGACGCCAAAGGTTGATCTGCATCCCTCATTGTGTAGCTGAACCGAATGTGTGCGTTCAGACGTCTCACAGTGTTTTATTGCGCAGTTCATGTTTATGCTAGCAAACCATTGACTGGGTCAATAGTGGTCTTACACGCATATCTAAATCTTTTACAAACATTTTTGTAACAAGCGTTGCATTTTCGTGTGTAAGAAACATACCGTTCGCTAAAGCTCCACGAGGGTCGTGAGTATATTTTCCTGTAAAGCCATCAGACAGTCGAAGTATCACTTCGTACTTTACTCTTGGTATTTCACACATCTCAGCCAACAAACTTCTGTTTACAAATTGAGGAACAAACATATACTATTTCACAGCACTCATCGAGACTCATAAACGAAGCTCAGTCTCTTGAGTAACTTTGGTTGTAGACCGCACCAACAGCGAAAATACTGCCTGGGGATTCAAGCTTTTGGGCATCTCCACACACGAGCTCCCCTGTTTTACAGTTTCTAGCCGAGAATTTTCATTTTCTATCGAACAAATAATATACCATTCGAGAGGGCTCATCAAATTGCATCAATTGAGCTATGTTTCATGAGTGACTCAAGCGATGGAGCGAATCGTCATGGAAAATACTTTTTTTTTGCTTTAATTTTTTTCCAGTAGCTTTATCAAAAACCTAAATTCGCCATTGAATCGAGCTGCATCTGGCTCACTCTATTGGAGAGTTGACTCAACAAATAGAATGAATCGCTTTCGAAAATATTCAAATCAGTTGCTAACTTTCCCTACATGTTTTTATGCGTATTTTCTCAAACGAGTTTTACTACGTTTAAAAATAACGCGTCATTTTTCGTTTTTTATAATAATTTAACGCGTTTAATCGTATTAGAAAAACCTAATCACGTTAAAATGCGTAGAATCTTCCTAGGTTTACATATTTTTACCAGTTCCTGCAGTAATTTCTATCGGTTTTATTGCATTCGTAGTATCATATATGAGAATTATTAAATAAATGAGAGAGAACTACTGTTATTCATTCTTTGATTCGTCGTCGGTTTAGATTACAGAAAAGTGTATCATTATCTCGAATGACGGCAGCGGTCAAATCCTACAAGTGCATATATATATATATATATAAATGATTAGTATCATATAAAAAAATGAAAAAGAATTGATATTTGAATACGACAATGGAACATTCGTTTATTCAACTGATCGATTTACCGGACGAGATACTTGTGAATATTTTCAAGAAATTAAATGATGTTGAAGTACTGTATTCTTTAATGGGTGTTAATCAACGATTGAGTAAAATTGTATGTGATTCAATGTTTACTAATCGTTTAACATTATTGAGATATTTATGGAATGGTTTTATCTTTCCATTATCTCGAATAGTACTTGATAGATTTTGTTTACAAATCTTACCTGAAATTCATCATAAAATCCAGTGGCTTAACCTTGAATCATTATCGATGGAACGTATTTTATTTGCTGCCGATTATCCTAATTTACGTGGACTTGGTCTGTATAATATTAATCAGAAGACTGCTGTACATTTCTTTATGGGTAAGAAATTTAAATTTCATTGTTTCAATCATTAAAAATATAAAAATTAAGACGGTTCGTTTTATTAAATTCTTAACTCTAGTGGAAATGGATGAGAGCAAAATCATCAAAAGAATGATCAATATATAGAAATAATATTTAAAAAAAACCCAATTCTTGTCCTTTTTAATCTAATTTTTTTTAAATATTTTCAGGGAAATAAGAATATAATGAAATATAGAGGCACGGATCTTATGATTTAATCAAGAAAAAGGATGACTAACTTTTTTTTTCTTACAAGGAAACATTCCCAGGTGCCGGAGCGCTCCTCAGCCAAGGTTTCGCACATCTTGTAGCCCATAGTGAGTTTCGAATTTTGGCTTGAAATTTTGCCTGCATAAAGATCTCAGGTAGACTAGTTTGCATAGAAAATTTCAGAAGTTTTGAATAAAGTTTCTCTAAGATAAGAAACTATCAAGGTATGGTCTCTTTTTCATAAATAATATATATAGTATGCATTTTTTTTTCAAAGCTTCGTATCTTAGAGAGACTTTGTGCAGGCAAAGTTTCAGGTCAAAATTCGAAACTCACTATGGGCTACAAGATGCGCGAAACCTCGACTGAGAAATACTCCGGCACCTGGGAATGTTCCTTTTTTTAGTGATTTTATATATTTTAGGCGAACAGATTTTAACTCGTACATTCAAAAATCAAATTTCAACAGTTATTATTACAATCTCAAATAAGAAAGAAGATTTATCAGCGAAAATTGAGATAATGACAGTGTGTTCACATATCTTTACTGCTTTTCCTAATCTACTCTATTTAAATTTTCACCAATCGTCAGATAGACAAATTGATCGATTATCATTTGATTGTCAAATTCCAATGTTTTGTTCAACTTTGTTAGAATTACATATAAAAGTACAACGTTTCGATGATATTCTTTATTTACTCGATGGTCGTTTCAATAAACTTTGTATTTTCTATGTTGATGTTATTAATATCGCTTGTACTCATACTTCATTGCCAATGATCAATAATAACGTAAGTTACTTTACAAGAAAATAACAATTATTACTTAAATAAATATCTTATTTATTGAACAAATGATTCATATATGTTCTATAAAGACTAATTATATATTATTATTTTGTTTTTCTAGGAAAGATTATCTAATATGAAATGTTTTTCAATGACAAGTTCTTGTGAAACATGTTTTTATGATGAATTAATTGTACCACTTCTACAACGAATGTTAAATTTAGAAAAGCTTGTTTTGAATTTTGCAGCCAATTGTCAAAAAACATTTATCGATGGGAATAATTTAAAGACATATATTCAACCATATGTCACGATTAAATATATTTACATTTAATATTCGTTCAAAAATATCTTTTTATGATCAAATGAACTTACTCTCAAATGAAGATATTAAAAATACATTAACAAATCTAGGAGATGATTATAAAATAAATTGTTGTGTTGATTATTTTTCAAAAGAAAAAACTGGTCAATGTCATATTTACTCATATCCATATTCATTAACATATTATGATAATATTACAAATAATTTTTCAGGTGGATTATTCAAATATGTTCACAACGTATCACTCTTTGACGAACGTCCATTTGAACATGAATTTTTTATTCGAATTACTCAAGCATTTCCTTTTCTTAAACAATTAACTATAAATAATTTAACACCGCAAAATCATAAACAATATGAAAACTTAAACAACAATCAAGATTTGCCAATCATTAAATATCCTTATCTTACTGACCTCGATTTTATTGATGTTCATGATGATTATATCGAGCAATTCTTAGTCAATACCAAAACGTATCTATCAAATTATATTCATACAATCATTGATTATAATTCTTTACAGAGAGTAACACACAATTTTACAAGAGAGGCAACACGAATCAATTGTTATAAATTCAGTCGTCTAATTTTTTGTGATGTATTGGATTTTCCAAAACATATTGTAGACTATTTTCCTCATGCAGAAATAATTATTTTCTGATTATTTAAAATAAAATAAAATAAATAACAACAAACAAGATTAATATATTTAAACTTAAGTTACTAAAGCAAAAAAAGAAATCTTATAATTAATTAAGGTATATATTTGTTTGAAAAGGAAACAAAATATTTTTCAGTTCTACCAGAATTAGTACACTAATAAAACAATCTGTAAAAGTAGAGGAAAAAAGCTATTAGCTTAATCCGTGTAGAATTAATATTTCTTTTAGATTGTGTTTCACAAAAATGGTATAGAAGATTTAAAACTCAATGAAAAGAGCCCATGACGTAAATGAATTATAAAATAATTCGGATTTACATCGATTCTACGATTTCTATTGACTTGATTCATTACTGAGGATCAGGATTCAGAGAAACTGATCAGGGATTACCACCTTGAGTTTCATCGAGCACGACGTGATAAATGTGTATTTCGTGTGTGTCTGTCTTTCTATCTTCACTCATTCATAACTAGTTCGATTTTCGGAAAGTCGTTTTTGATTTCTCGGAAATTCATTTGGTCCGGAAAGCCGTATAAAGCACCATATGGTGCTGTATTTGATTTTGGTTTCTTTTGTTTTGTGACTGATGGTAGACTATGACAGTCCTCGTTCCAGGCAGTTCCTGATATTTCCTGGCTGGTAGTAATCCGCATTTCCTGGTAATCCCTCGTGGAAACTAATAGAAGCTGAATTATCTTAGAATTCATTTACGACATTCAGTGCACGATTTTCTACTCTTAGACTTTACCCGCATGAAATAATTGAGATGAATTACATATTTAAAGTATGGCCCTTTTATCTTGTTATTGATTGTTGTTAATGATGTTTCTTCTTATATTTTTTACATATTATAAATGAAAATTAAATCGATCAAACGAATAAATCGAAGAATATTTATTAAAATTGAAAAAATGTTTTTTTTTCTTCGTGATAATACAACAGAAAATAAATATATTTATTTTTTGTATAATAAACTATCATTATCAGTAGATGATGATCTATCTGTACTATTATGAAAACTGACATACGATCAGTGGCGTACGCAGAAATTTTTCAAGGGGGGGGGGGGGGCAACTTTGTAAGGAGGGAGCCCGCAGTGGACTTGTAATAAAAGTTATGCTACAAAATTTTTTTCACCCGTACTTCCCCACAGGGAATTTTTCTCCAAGGGAGGGCCCGGGCTCCCTCGCCCCCCCCCCTCGGTACGCCACTGCGTATGATAAACAAAAGTTTATGAAAAAGTTAAATCAGAGACAAAATATAAATGCAAGTGATGATCTTTCGATCGTCCATAAAAAATTTTAAAAAATCAAATTTAGATGAATGTCTCGGTTTTTTGGTTCGCTCGTAGGCGCTCCTTTAATAATAAGTGAGTGGTCGTGCTATTTAAACAAAAATAATTTTAATTTGAACTTTTCAAACAACAAAACTTCATTTGATAAAGTAATATGACCAAGCAGATATGTTTGTTTTTATCTTTTTTAAGAATTTCTACTGTTATAGAGAGAAAATTGTTTGAAAAGATTAAAGATTTCTGTATCATTATTGCAGAAGATACTGGATAATTCATTATTTTTCATATGCACTAATCATATATATTCATATCGTTTTTTTGCTAATCAAATAAAAAGCCATATTTTCTATGTTAACTAAATTACTCATAGTTGAGAATAGATTGATTTCTATTAATCTATATAACGAACTTATTGTATAATATGTCCGTCAAAGATTTAATATTTGCTTTAAAATTTCCTTCTCAATAATTAATTGTATGTTGAATACTCTTCAAAATCTGGAACATAACTAATTAGAGCGTGGATGAAGACGAGACCCACACCCTCGAAAATGTCTTTTTTTTAATATCTCTCGAACAGTCAAGATTGATGAACATTAATCAAAGCCTATCCTTTCAACTTCCATGAATTTCGCAGAGTAGAAAGTCTCAACCTTTGATGGTCAATACTTTCCGAATTTTGCGAAATCACATCAGAATGATATTTTATTCTTTAGTCAAAGGACAGCATTGAAAACTTCACAATAGTTCAAACAAATGAATGATTTCATCTATTCTAACGAAATAATCCTGAAATAAATATAGAAATTTTGAACTACCATCATTCGTTGAGATATTTATCAAGTATTTCAAATTGAACATTTTTCTTGAGTTCAGAAAACTGTTTGAACGTAGGCTATCTTATCATATCAAGAGAACTCAATGGGTTCAAAACATGTGAAATCTTTATTCATGCGATCTATACAAATTCTCAGATTTCTAGTTCGATTGACGCCATCACAGTAGCAAATTCATTCCTTATGCATAGGCCAACAGAATCGATATAGTTGAAATAGACAGTGATTCAAGTTGAGATTTTTCTTCAAAATAAAAAGTTCTTTGTTATTGATCTATTATTTATAACAGATAATTATTGTTATTAATAACAATAACTTATCACCCCTAATTTGAATAATTTAGTCCAAAGAAAAGAGTCTGTTTAAAGATTAAATTGTAGTTTGCCGCTAAGTGTCGAATAGTGCCGGGTCATATACTCGAATTCATCTTTCGTCTTCTTGTTTTCTCACTTCTGTATTCTGCTCACTAGTCTGAACAAAATGAATGAATAGACAAAACGGACTAGATATGATCAATGTGAGTATGTTTTGGACTATTTCAAACATAGTTGGAGGACATTTTTCGCAAAAGGACTGATTATGACGGGTAGTATGAACATTTCGGACATCCTCATTTATTTATTGTCTAGTTGGGACACTATATATATATATTGATAACTACTGGCAAAAGGAAGTCACTATCTCTTGATAAAATAATGCCTCCACCATGTGTTATTGAAACATGCAAACGTAAATCATGAGCATTATGTCATTGTTGTAATAAAAATCTTTGTCCTGATCATTTAAAAGAACATGATGATTCAATAAATTCTCAAATACATCCTCTTGTTGATGAAATTATTGATAAATGTCGTCAAAAAATTAGATAAATGGCATCATGATTCTCATAAAGAAATTGATCGTTTTTATGAAGAAAAATTTCAAGAATTACAACAACTTTGTATTGAACGAGTTAGTCAAAAATGAAAAAAAATTCATCAATTAAAATTAAAAACAAATGAACTTATTCGAGAACAAGAAACTACCTATGATGATATTTCTTCATTTAAAGCAATTATTAATGATATCAAACATGATATAGATCAATATGAAGAGAATGGCATTTTAGTTGATGTTCATCCTTTAATTATTAATAACAATTTGATTTATATTGAAAAATGGACAGTGAATGAAATTGATATATCAACTCTTTCGTCTCTTTATCGAACAATCGATTGTTCTAATGGTGATTGGCCTGTATTAACTAGCAATAATCGATTTTTACTATTGAATCAATATCCTAATGTATGTTTATTTGATAAAGAATTAACTATTGTAAAACAATGTCCATGGGAATATGATCGTATTCCTGATATGTGTTGGTCTTCAACATTAAATTGTTTTATTATGGACACAAATAAAAATGAAGTTTTTCAAGTTAATGAAAATTTAATATTAATTCAATCTATTGAAACAATCGAGAAGAAGGAGTGGTTGTCTTGTACATGCTCGGATGTGTCTCTATTTCTTACGACTAATGATGGACATTCTGGTATTTTTGAATTCAATCTTTTATCATCATTTTGTTTAATTAAACAACGGAAATTTCCTCAAATTTGTAATAAAGATGAATTTATTCATAATATTGCTTATAATAATGGAACACTTGCTTTATTAATATCATACCAATCCTTTAAATATGATTCCAGTAAAACAGTACGTATAGAAGTTCGATCTTCATCAACACTCGATCAACTTTGGTCACTTCCTCTTAATATAGCATATCAGGATGGACGAGTCAATCGTGTTTGTTCACTTACATATGATGGATGTGGGTGTGGGCGTGGGTGTAGAGAAGATGTACCCACACCGACAGCCACAGCCACACCCCTAGAGTAGAGTTTTGAAAAAAAACACTAAAATTTTTTTCTTAAATTTTATATTGTATGTTAGAAATGCATTTTCTTTATTAAAAAACCAATTCAGATAAGTCTGTTATTTCTTTTAAATTATTTTAGTTTATATTCTCAAATTATTGACAAATGTAAAGTACAATATACTATGATTAACAAAGCAAATACATCATAACATACTTATCATTGACATATGCTAAAATCGAATTCTCTTATTTAATATACACTAATTTTTTTAATGATAAAATAAGTGAATCATGTGCTAATTTAACAATGACTGTTCGAATGAATTATTACATGCTTATGTATGATTTTTCTTTTTTTTGTTGAATGCTTTAAGCGAAAAAAATGTTATTTGTTATTAGACTAGAACGTATGTTGATGAAATTCGAACTGAAACTGCAAATCAATTGGAAAAAACACTGTTGAATCAAAATAATGGTTTGTGGATTTTTGAAAATAACATATTATATTATTCTTTTTTTTTTAATCTAGTATCTACTGTTGAATCACTTATTGTTAATGATAAAAATAAACTTATTGAATTGAATAAAAAACTTGACCGAGAAATAATTCCTTTTGGTTATTTAAAAGCATCGATTGAAATAATTGCGTATACAGTAGAGTGCAAAAAGAATTGCCGTTTCATATATGAACTTTCCAGAATTTTTTTTTCTTACACATTCAAAGAAGAATATTCTGGAACCATGTCGACCGTGGAGATTAGGTACTATCAATATAATGAATGGTAATATCCTTTCCGAAGTCTCTATCAATTTAATAAAATTGACACCAAAAGTGAAACATAATCATCTGTCAACACATCGATCACTGATCTTACATTATTATAATCTAGGTCATCGTTGTGCTGCTGAAATTGCTCGACAAACAAAGATACCTGTACGTACTCTCCGGTATAATTTAGCCAAGATTCGGAAAGAAGGTAGTGTGGAACATCGACGTGGTAATGGCTGAATACGAAAGATCACAGCCAAGGACAGCATTGCAATTGGTCAATGGATTCGAAGAAATAACGAAATTACCGCCGAGGAAATTGTCGAAAAACTTCAATTAACTAAAAATTTGAACGTATCACGATGGACAATGCTGCGTGAGCTTCATCGGTTAGGTTATAAGAATGTTTTATCTCGAGGGACGCCAATGTTGACAAACGAACAAAAAGAAAGACGTGTCCAATGGGCTTTGGCACACAAGAACGACGATTGGAGCCGTACAATATTCTCTGACGAAACCTCTTACCAATTATTCAGAAACACGATTCATCGTTGGTCCAAATATGCTCAAGAAGAAAAAAAAGAATTCCAAAGAATAAACAAAAAATAATAGTAGGGGAAGCTTTTAGTATCAAAGGTCAAATATCGTGCCACTCTTTTCGAACCATCATGGATGGCCCTCTTTACGTTGAAATGCTTCGAAAACATCTTCTTGGCGGAGCAAAAAAGCAATTTGGAGATCGGTGGCGATATCATCAGGATAACGATCCGAAATACACCAGTAGAGTAACAAAACAATTTTTGAAAAACGAAGTACCTGAAACAATCGACTGGCCCAGCAATAGTCCGGATATTGATCCCATCGAGAACATGTGGTCCATACTTAAGTGACGTGTAGAAAAACGAAAACCATCGAATATCGACGAACTGAACCAATTTGTACACGAAGAATGGAAAAAAGTTGATACGACAATTATAAGTAATTTAGTGTATTCCATGAAATCGAGATGTTTGGCAATTATTGATTCAAAGGGAGAAAGAATAAACTATTGAGTATTGTAGTTTTGTAGTATACTATGTATGTAAACTTTGTATGAAAAAATAGATTTTCTTTGATAGCGATAAATAAATAAAAATTGTGAAACTTTAACGGGAATTTTTTTGCACCCTACTGTATGTATTATATGTAAAGCTTTTGTAAATTATATAGAAAAATATTTAAGTAGATTATGAAGATATTATTTAAACTTGATGATCTTGAAAAATAATTAGCTAACATACAAACATCAATTGTTGAACTCAATGCTTGGTATAGTTATATTAAGTAAAAGACAAAAAAAAGAAAATCATATTATTATAGAAATTACAATATTTAGATAACCATCGAAATCAATAACGCAAAAATAATTCATTTTTTTTCTCTTTCTTATTCTTCTTCTGGATAAGAAAAAACTGATATTTATTTATTTTTTCTTTATTCATCTTTTAGAATTATATCACGTTTATTTTGGTTTGATTAAAATAAAAACTCAAACAAGATCCAGTGGTTTTGATAAAATGCGCCAATATCATAAAGCATTTTCACCTTTTAATAAAGATCATAAGAATATACATGATTGCAGCATAAGAACTCGATATGAAAATATTTGTTTTATTCTGATGAAACAATGACAATACCTCTTTATCAATTTTAAGTATTACTCTTCATTTATGTATTTTATCACCATGAGAAACTGAATTACAAGAAATTCAACAACAAATTAGTCATACAATTGGCTTTTGATATATTTGTCAAAGTAGCAGAAAATTTTAAAAAAGAAATAATAAAGAAAATAGACGATGATATATATGAAACATATCATGTATTTGATAAATGTGGTATTGGTTATATTAGTGTTGCTAAACTGAAATATCCTATGCTGTTATGGAATGAATAATTTACAGAAGTTCACGAATTAATACATAAAGCTGATATTGATGCTCACGAACAGTTTGTATCTAACTAACTAGAAACTTTTTAAAAAAAATAGTTTCATTGATTTTTCTGTTTCCATTTAGATGCAACTGCAAAGATTTTGTATGTATTTTAACAAATAAACAACGCGAATATATGATTGAATTTTTTGTCAATAATAAAATGAACAAAAAACAATATACATTCCGTCTGAAAATAAGTCCAATTGCTTTTCTATGTAATCTCTATAGTTCATACATTTCTCGTTTTTTTCTTTGATATTCTATTTTAGCAATATCTATGATTCAACATATTTCTTTTTTCATTTTTGCTTTTTTTCTTTTTTATCTTCATCAATTGGATATAAACGATGAAATAGTTAAATTATTTATTATTGTATTTAATTGTTCAATATCTATCTGATGATGATAATACTACAAGAAAAAAACATCGAAATATCATATATTTATTTTATTTTACATCCTTTCATATTTAGTTCGATTATTTTTTATTGATTCGATTTAGTGATGTATTATAATACATTTTCATCAGTATATAGCTATATAATAAACGATAAAATAAAGCATGATAACATTGTTCTAGTTTCTTTGTCATAGTAGAAGCAACTAGTATTAAAACATTGTAGTTATTTTAGTATTAAGTAAGTAAAATAATTTATGAAATTTTCAAAACATTTACTCTTATTATATACACTAATGATGAGTTTTCAAATGATTTCAGAACTTCTGAGATCTCCTTAATATGTGTGTATGCAACTAGAGAGAGAGATTGAGTCATTATTTTGTCTTTTTCTCTCTCTCATTAATATTAGACAAAAGTTGCACATGTGTCAGCTACATATTATTCTTTTTTTTTTTATCACATACTTGTCACTACCATGATACGAGATTCTTTCTCTTCTCTTTTCACACAACTACTCTCCATGGGTCATGGACGAGTGATCAACATTTTTTTCGAGCGTCAGCTCTGTCGATGGAGCATAATCCACATAGTATTGTGCAGGCAAATACATACGCCGCACGCTTCACTGATTTCTGCAGTAGAACAGATATTTTTCTTCAATATTTCTATCCCTCACGATCAACAGATGTAAAAGTAATAAAGCACTGTTGTAAAGAGTCACAACTTTATTTTGTATTGATAATATCTCTCGATATCCTAGTGGGATCTGATGACCACTGCCTCCTCATATGAAAGAATGATATTACAGCAAAAGAAGCACATACACACAGATGTTTTTCCTACTTCAATTCTTTGTTACAGTGTTGTTGTTCAACAAGCCAGCTTCGAAATTAATTTAAATGCATAACATAAAGAATATTTTTGATAGATAGATTATATTATTATTGAATGATGAATAAATATACAAAAAATAAAGCAAAAAAGAATGCATATTATAAAAAGAGATGAACGCAAAAAATATGTAAAAGGAATTCACATTTGCAATGACAATGGTCACTTACTGGGTAATTTTTGTTGAGTGATTGCTTTGAACAGTAGTCTCTCTTGATAGATTATGCAATTGATCGATGATAATCTATTGATTATTTGAGAGAAAAAAAAACCGTTGAGCTGAGAAATGAAAAAAAAGTATTTGAAATTAAAAAGTTCTGTTATCCGTTATAATAAAGTCGCATGAGCAGAAATTTAATCGATGATGGTGCACATTAACATCACCAAAAGGAAGACCAATACCAAGACATATTATATCAAAGAAAATCAATAAGAAACTTATTTTATTGATGTCACATATGTGTATGTATCCAGTTCTGTACGTTAGATTATCCTTTTTTTTTAAATTATAGCCTCATCTTTTAATGTGAATTTTTTTTGAGGTCAATTTGATTTTGTTTTGATTTCTCTTTTTCTTTTCTGTTTTTTTCGTTCTCTAGCTATCTACACGTGTGTATAGAGAGTGAATCAATATCTACATGTTTTGTTTTTTTATCGATAGTACTGCTTCATTTTGTACAATGTCGAAGTTTTGTTTAATAAAAAAAAAGATAATAATAAACTATAAAACATCGCTATGCTTTTGAAAGTTTTCTTAAAATCGTAAATTTTACATAAATCCAATCAAACACATATATTGTAGTAATAAAGGAAATAAATCATAAATGCCATCGAAGGACTTAAATAAAAGTGAAATTGATTTGTTTTTTTTTTGAATGTTTCTATTGGATAAAAAAAAACAAGTTGATTTCTTCGATTTACCGTCATATGATGATTAAATAAATGAAAGCATGAAGCCAATCAAACTGATCATTAGAGTCGACCTCAACCACTTTTCTTCTGCTAAATCTATTCTTTACATATGACATGCAGCACGCTTTCAACGTCTCCCACTCAATCTCTAAATATGAATTTTAGTCATGGA